ATCTTAGAATCTGAGCCGTAAGTTGTCTAAAATCGAAAATGTTGAGAGTGAGAGTAGGTGATGTGGGCTTGTATATACAAAGTTTATAAACTTTCCGATCGAATCAAGACATTCGATGAACATCGACGCTTGATTTTAATGGTGTCAAGGAATAAATTTTCGATATAAAAAAAATATAAGAGAAAGACCGATAACCGAAAAACATTATCAACACACATGCGCGTATGTTGATCACAACAAAACGCTTAAAACGAGTGGAAACGCCACACTTAATTGAACCACATGAAATATTTATGTATAGTGTCGCATGACACCCGAACATGCAAAATGCCTAACAAACGAAAGCAATACCATAAATTAAGTGAAATGGAAACAATGACGATGATGATATTTCTCTTCGTCTTCTTTCGCGTTCAAACTTTGCGTCATTTGTCTTATGTTATTGATTCGGATGGGTGTGTTTGAATATCAATAAACGTTTACATTTTGCTTCTCCGTTTTGAATATTCCATAACATCAAGTCAAATCCAAAATTTATGGCATGTTGAACTTGAATCTTTGGAAAATTATTACAATTTTTTCCTTGTTTTTTTTCGGTTGTTCGCGCCTTAAATGGTGCAAATTGCCCGATGGAATGAAAGAAATAAACCATTTGAAATATTCCTAAATAGAATTTAATCGCTTCCCCTGCTGTATATCCTAAAAGTAGCCGAGTACATAAATTTCGAAAGCGAAACCGTCAATTTATTTGAATTGTATTCAAGTGAAACTGAAACACGATTATTGGTCGTTGGGGATGATGTGATAGCCGTACAAGAAAAAAAAATTCTTTCTGTTTTGTTTGTAATTACAATTATGTTCTTTTGCCTGAACCTTTCAATGGAGCGCAGGCACGAGTGAATGTGTCTGGTAATGGACCCTAATGTTGACTGCTTTTGAATGGAAGAATCTTCGATGGAAATTCTGCTTGCAATTAACATTCAGCTTTGTACATTCTCTCGGTTCGGCAATTGGTGTGAGGACCGACGACGCGCTCACTTTTTATCCCAACTTTTTATTTTACTTTTGGCTTCGTTTGTTTTTTCTGTTGACTAATTTGTCTTCGCATTCTTCACAAGTCATTCTCTCGTGTTGAGCATCTGATGTTTTTCTTTCTCTCTTTATGTTTTTCCATGCCGTCTGCAAATACTCACAATTTGAATGAATCGGAGAGTGTCCCGAAAGGGCACGTGTTGCGATTCGAGTGCCGGCGCGAAAAGACATTCGGCATTAAATGTAGAAAAATACGTTCGACTAGAAGTGCAAACAGAAAAAAAAACACGAAAAATACGTTGAATCGCGCGAGGAAAAGAAAGTGCATGAAGTAGAACAAAGTGGCGCAGTTTTGGTTAGGCTTCGCTTTTTTTTGGTCGGCAACTGAAATCGAGACAAATTTACAATGATAATGTGCAAAAACTGACATAAATATAAATCTTTTCGTTTGCCTCTCTGTTGCTTCGATGATTTGATTTAGATTCTCACCATGATTTCAGCACACTTTTTGCCATTGACGCCGCGCTATCAACACATTCAAATGCTCAACACCGACATTTTACATTCAAACTTTTACTCTCGCACAGAAAAATAAAAGGATTCGGCTAACGAGGTTAGGCAGAAGGTTGCGCATTAATAATGAGTGTGGCTATTCTTGTGAAAAGAATTTTCAATGCAAAGTGAATTAAGTGGGAAAGGTCGGCGAAAATGGAACAAATGTGAGTTCATTTGAAGTTTTATTTGGAATTTCACTTGAAATTTCTGTGCCCGATGGCTCCAATTGGTAGAGGCGTTAGTATCAGTGACAGTAATCCGTAGAAGCTACGTTGATTACATAATATTTTTATTTTTAGTTTGATCGATAGGTAATATCTCTAATATGTCATTTCGGAACAATTGACTCAAATTAATCCTTATCAACATAATCTACATTGCAAACATGAATAAAGTCGGTTAAACCGTATTGCCTCAATCCAAAAACACTTTTATTTGCTAGTTTAAATCAGATTGACATAATTAACTGGATCGTTTTTTGTCTCTATGTTAAATGACAATTTCAGTACAAACGATAATAAAAGTTAATTCCCCGTTGCAAAGAGTCAAGAGTCTTATGTGTTTGATTCATGAATCAGCGCTTATTCGCTTCTCTTCACATAAATGCCTTTTATGTAATAAATAGAGAGAATAAAAGGCAACAACGACAACAAAAAATAGTGTGACATGTATAACTTTAATCAACGCGGTTTAAATTCAAATTTCAATGGATGATTATTCGAGCATAGTATAAGTCTCACACAAAACAGTCGGCTGAATGATGAATTATGTATGCAGCATAATATTTCATGCAAAAGCTAAATTCGAGAGCGGCTTGCATGTCTTGAAACGCAATACCATTTTCTTCTTCTCTTTTTCTGTTTCGTACTTTGACTCGTGTAGAATTTCCATCCATCCATCCTAAAATGCTCTCAAATATTTTCAATGTCAAAATATGTGGTTGTTTTTTTTTGCGTTTTTCAGAATTGTGCTTGCCAATGCACGTGGGGGCCGCTTTTCGGGAAAAATCATATATATATATTCCATCGCTAATGCGAACGCACAATTTAAAGCCATTCATTGAGTTTGATATTCACATCAATCTCGGCGGCAAGACTTAATCTTTGACTGTCATCTAGCGCATATGCATATTTCATACGAACGAGATTAGCTGCTTATGTTGCATGTATTTGTGTGACTTTGACTGCGACTGTGATATGATCGTACGTGTACACGGTTGCCTTTCTTCGTCGACGGTTGTCGCTTTAGATTCTCTGTGACGGGGTTAGAGTGTCGTTTATGCTAATTACACGCATTATTAATGATACACGTTTTGTTGTAATCTATCGCTATTTTCTTGATGTAGATCAATGCAACGATACGGCGATGCATTCGATACACGCACACGCATATACACAATCCGATCATCTCAGGTTCACGTAAACCGTGTATTTGTCGTCGATGGATCCATATCTCAAGATATTGGCTACGCTTATTTTTCCGCTTGTCTTTTCTTTTTTCTCTCCCTCTCTCAGTCTGCAGGAAATTGATTCATTCCACAGAGATAAACTTTTAAATATAGATATGCATATAAAATCATGTGGACGATAAAGAATGATGATATGTGCAACTGCGGAAGAAAAAAGTGTTATTGTGTCACTTTTGATTCTCCATAGATTTAGAAACATGCATAAAATACGAAGCTAAAACATAAACCCATATGCAGGCTTAGACTTTGATTCTAGTGCTTCTCAATTCAATGCAATCGCATCGTACAAGTTTCAATTTGCGTTCTATCGATCGAATAATGGATTCATATAATCATAAGAGATAAGCGCTCCTTTATGTCGATTACAACGAGAAAATCCATTATCATGCATTGATGATTTATAATATGCAAACAATTGCCACGATATATATATATATATCGGGATTTCTACATTCGATGAATATCGACGAAAAAGAAAAACTTGTGATTATTTCAACATTTTTAACTGGTTTCAATCTATAAAAAATTTATAGCACTTTAAAAATCAATTTTGAGCGATTCAAAACTTTGTTAGTAACAACTAGAAATTTCGGTTTTAACGGGTTTTGGGGCGTGTGTGCGCCGCACCGATCGAAATAACAAACTCAATTTGTGGATGTTTTATTTATGTTCGTGTAATGAACAAATCAAACTATAAAATTGTTTCCAAATATTCACGTGTCACTACGAAGCAACGCTATTTTTACTGTTGATGCATTCATTGTGATGAAGGGCAAACTTTTTTCCATATGTGAATTTTACAACAATATTTCATTTTACATCGCATTTTTCGATCGTTCTATCAGTGAAAATGTTATTTTCAGCATTGTGCAAAGTGCAACACTGTTGCTGGAATAATAATCTACACTCATTCTATCTCATTAGCAAGTTTATGAGGATATTTGTCAGTTTTTGTTATACAATAGAATGAATATATATGTTCCAATTTTTGCGAAATAGTCTAATTATAAATTTGAATCCAGTTATGCTTTCGGAAGTGATGAAACATTGATAACAAACCATTATTTAAGCAGTTTTCGGGGAATTCACCCTTCCAAATAAGGCATGCAATTTTTGCATTTGCAGTTGTGAAAACTAATGGATGGAATCCTGTGCAAACTATGACCTGCTGAGTAAATATACACTAGCGAATATTTCAACAGCCAGTGGACTCGTTGCGTGATGTGACCGTTCCATTTCAGACTGCATGGTTACGTGTTGAGGAATATTTTTGTCCAGTGAAATCAGCTGTGATGTGACAAATGGATCGGTGTAAATGGCCAGCACAATTCTTACAAAAACTTGTTCAAATCATTCACACACACACACACATACACTCAAACACCGCTTTTTTGTCAATGACCAACACCATGCAATGTGTTCTAATGTCCGATTTGTGGTTGACGTTTTTACATTCATGAAAACCTTTCCGATGAAACTCATTTTCGAAATCGACAGAAAAAAAAATCGTTTAATTATTCAATGGGACAAATTAAAAGCGAATTCATGCATATTCTTTCCTAAAGAGCTGAAAATACCTCGGAATAAATATTCATTAGAAGATATGTGTTTTTTTTTCTCTCCAATGTCTTTAAAAAAAAAAACGAATACAAAAAATGTTATTAAAATCAAACGTTTACCATAAATTTACCGTTGTACGGTAAATTTGATGCGGTTTAATTTGAAAGCCCAAGGTTATGTCGAACGAAACTGGACCGAAGAATGTTGACATTGGAGGAAAAAAAAAACAAGATCTATTCGAAAATAGAATTCCGTTTATACAACGAATTTTCCGATTATATAAAAAAAATAGCCGAAATCGGTGTCACTTTTTACGATTGAAGAAGATGGCTTAACGGTGTCTGGTGGCCATAGAAGAAGAAACAACAACGAATCGACACTTGTTTCGATTTGAAAATAATTACGATTTATTCACTACATTCAATTTGAATAAATTAACGACCGCAAGACCGTGTTCATGGCAATTTATTGGTGAGCATCTCATAATTAAATCGAATGAATAAATTAAATGGCATTTAACAATGTGTGCACATATTTTGACGTATACAAACCGGCACGACGGCAGACGATGAATAGAAAAAAAAAATATATGTCTAAATGAAATACTGAAAAGAAACCAACAAGCGGTTGTGAATGTTCGTTTTTTATGTGTCCGTTGTTAATATTGCACAATTGATGTGTTGTGATGATGATGAAGAATGGAAGAATCAATTCCAATTAATTGGTGGGGCGGCATCGCCTACATTCATACCGAAATACAAACGTGGTATGTTTTACATTACATTATTTAAATTTTAAGCAAATATTGGATGGCCATTGAATAGTCTCGGTTGCTTTTCGTCTGATGACGATGGCGGCGACGACGTTGCCGGCGGTTGCTGCTGCTTTTGTTGCTCGGTTGAGTCTTTTTGTGCTTCAGTCCATTGAAATATCATTTCGGTGTTATTTATCGGCGAAACATCGTGAATGGGATCGATTGTTGTTGCTGGGCGCTCATTGTTTGCTTCGGTCGAAATGCGATGATCCCGTGGAATTTGTCGATTGTCATTAGAAATAATTGCAGTTTCTTCGGTTTTATTAATTGATGCTAAGCTCGGCTCATTTGAATGCTGTCGATTGTCGTTCGATTGCGATACATTTTCACCTTTGGGTACATATTTCACTTGAAACACACCATCATCATTGACGTACACGAAGGGTTCGAGTCCATTGTCGATGGCCGTTTGGTTTACAACGAATACTGAACTATTCACTGAATTTGGCAGCAATGGTTCATCATTTATTTCGTTCGATTGGACTGTGATCGGTTTCATATCGGTATTTTCTAGCATCGTCGATTCGGACCTCGGGAAAAAAACAATTGACTGATCTCGATTAACTGCTGCTGCTGGCTCGGAATCGATTGCATGTACCGAGTGTCGTTCGGTTGGCCAACGAATTTGTCGAACGTAATCGTTCATTGTGGGGAATTTAAAGGGTTTCGAGTCAATTCCTCGGTTACGTTCGAGACGCTTAAATTGCTGACGTTCATCAACTGTCGATGCAATATCATCGCGATTCGGATTCCAAGTGGAATCTATGGTCGAGCCTAAAATTACAAAAACAAAAATAACTCTGGTTAACTTCAAATCATTTCTGTATACAAATTCCGAAAATTCAATTTATCAGGTAGTTTGTGTGTAAAAAGGAGAATAATTTTAGTATTGATTACATGCGTAAAAAATGGGCGGACAGAAACCAAGCTCATGGCAATGACTTTAACAACCAACAACCACAATCAATGAGTAAATTGAATGAAAAAAGAATTCTCTCCGTGATTTTTTTTTCTTCTTTCTCTTCTTTTGAGTCTAACAAATCGTTGTTATTTGCTAATGAATTGGGCAAAATGGAATGATGAAAGCAGTCTCTCTCTCCCTATTCAAGACACGCACCGAGCGACCGAATGTGCGACGCATAAGCGACGAAGTGAAGTATGATGCAATGGAATGTATGGAACCGGTAATTAATCGATTGATTTATTGGGCGAGTTTTCACTTTTTCTAGCTATATATATGCGTGAACGTTCATTGCTGTTGGTTTTTTTTTTTCGGTGCGTCGATTTGAATCCACCGCCATCGCCTCTTTATTGATTAAGCGGACTTATTGTAATGAATTACCAGATGAACGACACAGTAAATAATAAGCAAGAGCACTCGAGCGACGCGCTCTTGACACAGTCAACGATATTTAGATGATGTTGTACATCCCATTTCTCAAGTCACTTTGATTTCTTGTTTCTTTTTTTTTTCTCTGTCGAACACAACAACTGATGAATACCATTCCATATGCACACAGTTCAGTTCGTCGAGTAATAAATATGGATTTTATTTTTCTGTACGGCTTTCAAATCAAATCGGTGCATGGATGTTTGGTCATACGTAAAAATGGTCACAAATTAAATCACACACACGCACACATACAAATAATCCATGAATTCAGTGGAATTGAAGAAAACAAATCGCTAATATGAGTCACGAACCAATATGCTATTCAATGATGACAGGCGATGCGATCGAAATCGCATATGTACGTGCGTATGTGTTTGACTTTAGTGTAATTGTGATTGATTAATTACGTTCGTTCATTAAATCATCAGCGGTTAATAAATCAAATCCATTAGTGTGTCGATTTTGTGCTAGCGGTTTATTCGAAGCAAGCACTCGCGAGCGCACACTCCTCTCCGTCTCATCATCAACTCTCTTCTAATTCTGTAATTCATTTGAGCTCTTTTATGTCATTGGATGCGTGAGCGAGATCCTACCATCGTATAAATTGGTTAGTTATTTTGTGTGTTCGATGCGTATGTGCCCAACGTCCAATTTCGAATATTAATTCATCAAAATTCGAATGCATGAATCGATACACATATGAATGATGGACACTAATTACCGAAACATATGAATCTTCATATCAATCAGCCGTTTTGATGGAGGTATACTCAATTGAAATATAGACACACACACACACACCCAACGGTATCTTTTATGATAAAATCTTGGATGAAATCGTGATTAGAGTAAATGGATTTTTTTTAAACATTTACCTGGCAATGTTGTCATCGTTATCGGTGACACTGCTGTCGCGTCAGTTGGTTGACCATCCGAGTGCGATGTGAAGGTGGGTGTACTGGCATTCAGAATAGTTATCAAATTTGCTATATCAATATTGGTCAAAATGTGAACATTGCCAATAGTCTGTTGATGTTGATGGTGTACATGATTTATGACTTCTCTCTGCGCCACACTTTCATTAGTACTTGCCACACCATTATTGATTGAAAATCGCTCGCTGACTAGTGGTTTTTCATCTGACTTGTCGATGGCCAATCGATAAGCAAATGCATTCGCAACACTCGCCAATATTACAAATGCAACAATGATAATATTTACTATCACTTGCCCCGTCATGTTGTACACCATATACACTCAATTTCACTGTTTATTTAAATCATAAACTGTAAACGTTTGCTGAAATAATTATTTACTTTGCTGTAACTTTTGCTAACTGCGTTTCGAATCGTCTACGACCAAGTTTCCAATAGCACACTTGTGTCGGTGGTCACGTCTTATTCGCTACTGAACGCTAATATTAATTGGCTGTGAGTCTTCAATTGCTGCTCTTCGACTTCTTTATTTCTGTTCTCCCCGACCGCATTCTTTTTTTTTTGGATGGAACCGGCATTCACGCTGCTGGAGTGTTGAACTTGAACTAGGCCAATGTTATCGCAAACTGTGTATAAATAAAATCAACACGATATGAATACGAAATGACAGCAACTGAACCATTTACTTGAAATATCGGAATTTTGTGTTTAAATTTGTTTTTTCCCCTTTGAATAAAAACGTCAGCGGCTTTCCCAATCTCAGAAAACGCATTTAAATATAACGTCGTATTCTGACCGTTCTAAGCCCGTTTTGATTTGGAAAGTGTGTTTTGTTTTGTCGCGATAGAGAGCGCCGAAGGTTAAACACATCAGCACGCATACACACATCGAATATACGGTTAGCTAAATGATTCATTCGGAATGGTTGTTTAGCATGCTTTTGAACGCGCTGTTTTTGGAATGAATGTTTAAAAAATTGGGTTTTCCAAGATTCAATTTGATCAAAACCGCAAATCATACCGATTACGAATGAAATAGCGTTGATTTTGTCATTGATACACACCAACGGTTTTGAGTGCATAATAAATTGCAGTTTCGTATTCTGTTTCAATATGCAGAGCAGAGAGCGATTGTTTCCGAAAATTACTGCAAATTACGATTTATTATGTGGATAATTTTGTGGTGCAAAATCATTTGTCTTATGTTACAATGTGTGTAATGTTGTTTCGATGGAGATATCCGGGTATCATTTGTTGCCTCACGCCAGAGGCAAGCGCATACAAATAGGATACAAATGAGAGCAAATGTGCCATGATTATTGCAATTTTTTTAGCATTCATTTAAATCTGTTCTTTTCTTTGGTACAAACCAAACATGTAGCATTCGCACAAGGTTAATGCAATAAAACATTTCACTTTGCCCGATACTATCGTCTGCCTTTTTTTCTCAAGCATGGTTTAATGAAGACACCATCGACCTCAGCGATCACCAACATTAAAGTGTGCATTGTGTGTGCAAACTTTAAATTCGACGAAAGAAAATTACGGACGAAAGTCTGTCATTAAGATTATTCGTTGCGTGAACGACAGCTCATTAGGATTTTCTGACCGTAAATTTTTCGACGTTAAATCGAAAACCTTCACCAAAACACATTGACCATCCAGAATGGACCTCGACTACAACAAATAACACAACATTTTATATAAATTGTCTTCTCGTTTACTTTAAACATTTTATATCAATTATCTTCTCATTTTTTTTTAGATTCGATTCTTCGTGGACGAAGAAGACGCAACAAGGAACATAATAGCTCAACTAATGCTGAGCAGCTGAGCGAAAATGGCTTGCTTTGGAGGTTGGTAATTTTTTAATTGTCGTCCGTTGATGTAAACTGATCGACTTATCATTTGAAAAGTATCATTTCTCAACCTACAGCCGCATTTCACGGATGTGGTTATTCTTTGGCAACGGATCATTGGCATTGATCTCTTCAACGAATGAGAAAAACCGGTATTTAAAATTCAAGAGAGAATAAATGCCGTCGAAAACGCAACGCGAAAAAATGTAAAAATGAGCAAATCGGCTGTCGACAGAATCTTCCAGACAAAATACGCGCTCATTCGAGCTCGAGGCATTCAAGCAACCAAAGTCAATTTGATAAGTTATTTTTAAGAAAAAATATATAAACCAAAGATGCGATCAATTGACAACTGTTATCGAAAATGTTTTCGTCGAGAAAAACTCTTGAGATGATTCCATTACGACAACGAACATCGAGAGCGATGCTTCCTCCTCGATGAGATGGTCACATTGATGTAGCTCAGCATAAATTCAATTGAAATCTGGTTGGTTCGAAGTCATTGCATTCAATTTTTCGTTGGATTTTTTCTCTTCAGCGCTTTGCATGTGGAACGGCAGAATGATTTCCTGTTATTGCGGTCGCATCAATGCTTCGGTCAAAAGTTGTTTGCAGTTTTTTTCTGTTCTGTTTTTTTTTTTGCGAACCGAACACTTGTGCATCGCTTATTTTCGATTGTTTCTTTTGATACAACGTTCGTCTTTTTCTTTGTTGCGTTCAGTTTACCTTTGTTGTGATGCTTTTGCACCTCTGATTTTTTTTTCGCCTCCTTTTACTGGACACACTTGCACATGGTGTTGCCTTTAACTCGGTTTCAAATGGAGCAAAAGCGGCAGCAGCAGAAGTAAGAAAAAAAACTATTTACTTTTGCCGTCCGATTTATTTTCCGTCGTCGTTGCAGTTATGCCGTCGTGTTGGTGCATCATTTTTTTTATCTCTTCTATCCACCGTGTTTCGCCTTTTTGTTCGAATTGGCACAACACCGACGAAAACACCTGCCTTAATGGAATGTTTTTGATTTTTCTGTACATTTTGCGCGTTGATTTTTTTCTTCAGCTTCATGTTCTCCAGAGCCATGATGAAGTATGTGCACTTTGGCCAGCGTGCCTTTTCTTCTTGTGCAAAATTGAACGTTAAAAACGTAATTTATTTGATTGAATTTTTTCGTCAAGATGTAAAGTTTCGGGGTTTGGGCATCAATCAAATTTATACGATTAAAATGAATGACCCACAATCGAAAATTGCGCCGTATAGAAAACGCATAACGGAGAAAATTGATCTTCGTTAAGATGTTCAGTGACATTTACAATTTTTACGGCATCATCAATTTTTCCAAGCCCATAAGAATACAACGATGACTGCAGATACTTGGCTAGTGATAGGGCATCGTGCAACAAACGTGCAGGTGAAGTGTAATCGAATAATCGAGTGATAATCAATAAATAATTTTATGGAATCACAATGTTAAATCGCTGCTGGAAGGCCGATAAATTGCTCTTGGCATGGGATTAAATAAACTCAGCATTTTACTGGTGACTAGTTTTAGCCATTAGAGTGAAACATCTTGGCCGGGCTTGGTTGTAAAACTGCTCCATTGTTTACGCACCAATAAGCTAATACTGTTAATAGCGGCTTTATTTTAGCACTAGAAGGCTCAAATGGATGCACTTTTCGTTGCGCGCACTCTTATTATTATTGTACACACCAATATTGAACATGCACACAACAACAACAGCAACAACAACCGTACAATAAGCGTTACGGCCAAAGTCAATTTACCAGATGCTAGCAGTTAGATTGGCTGTCAAGCTGCAATCATAGAGCGATAAACCTTAATTATGATGTGTATCATAGGTCCGACAAATTATTGCATAATCACCATGCGCTCTAAGTACTCTCAAAACCGGTCAGTGAACGATTTGCTTGTGTGCTCCGGCATTGTTGGTGGGCAAAATCGACAATAATGCGGCCTTTCAATGCAGATTAGAATTGGCTTGTTCATTAAATCGACTTTATTTGTTCATCGAATTGGCGTTAGATCAAATTTTGCTCCTATCGTTGAACTTACTAAGCGCTAAGCTGCTTATCAAATCGAATCATCCAATTTGTTGCCACTGTTTCCTTTTCAACTCCTCCGAATAGGTCATTATCCGATTATTATTTGCGTTTGTGCTCCTGTTTAAATATAGTATTCTTGCGATGTTTGGTGCACATGATGGATTTGATGCGCGATATCAGTTCAACGGAAATGAAAAGTTTAAATTTCGAATCGACCTAATTCCCCAATAGGGAGATAGAGAGAGAGAGAGAGAGAGAGAGAGAGAGAGAGAGAGAGAGAGAGAGAGAGAGAGAGAAAGATGGACTGATTTGTATGCAAATTCAAAATGACAGATCGGGGACAAATATTGAAAAAGTTTTGATTGCTTTTCGGAAAAAATTCAAGGTTTCGCTTGACAGTTTGAAACAAAACAAATGTATCATTTGATACCAAGGAAAATGTTGTCGTTGGTTCGAACATTTTCGGTCCACAAGTTTCAAGTTATTTATTATTATCGAGTGCCACAAATTACTCACGCCATATCTTTTTCCGATACAAAACTGAATCCTTTCGCTCTATTGCTCTTCCTGCCGACGATTTATATGCATTTGTTTCGGGGAAATTTTCTTTTTTTTATTGTTTACTTTGATGTAAATAAATTCACAAAGTTTTATCATTTCCATTTCAAGCGTAACAAATATGAAGAAGATAAAAAAACGAAAGAAACCATCGAAACAATCACAATAAATGAAGAGGGTCTTTTGAGAAATGCATATTATTCCGTGTTTTTTTTTTCTTCTTCTTCAGACGATGTACCTTGAATTAATTTATTTGTTTGTTAATCTCAATAAATCATGATTGAGTTGAGCTGAACACAGGCAGATTAGCGTGAAAGTGAAAATAACAATGTAGGCAACGGCGATGAGCACAAAATCGAGGATATCATATTTTATACTTTCTGATTTCTTTCGTTCACTTTTGTTCTGTTGTTCACCTTTTTTTGTGTTGTTGTTATTGTTCAAGGAATTCGAGAAGTCAAAATTATGCTGAGAAAAAGTTTATCGACTTTCGAATTTAATCTCGAACGAAGAAAAATGAATTGAATGAAATTAAATTGCACACACAAAAAAACGCCCGAAGTTTTCGTGTCGTTGAACAACAGATGAAATGAGCAAATTGAAATCATTGTAGTTTTGACAATTTTACAGAATTTTTTTTTCTTGCTTGAACGAATAACGCAAAGCAACCATTGCAAATTGAATGAAACTACTCATTGAATAAATCAATGTGGTTTTTTTTATTCTTTCGTGAAATGAAAAAAGAGAGCGACAGTCTGTGGCTTCACTTTCATTTCACGAATGTGCAGTTTAGAGAAGAAGAAAAAAGCGGATCGAATCCGAAAAATGGGGAGACGCCAAGCGAGTTCAGTGTTGTGGCAACATTTTGATGCATGCCAACAAGAAGTTCTAAGCATGAACACGCGTGATATTAATGAACAAAGTAAAGAAACATGCAATAATGACGCAAATGTGAAATAATATTTCACCATGAGGGTCTTTGATAGTGTAGTTGCTGTCGGAGAACAGAGCCGTGAAGTGTTTGCAGAAACTGGAGTGGAAACTCATTAAATCCGAAAAAAAATGAACGAGGTAAAGAGAGAGAGAGAGAGAGAGAGAGAGAGAGAGAGAGAGAGAGAGAGA